ACTGTAATGGTCGGTAATTTGCATACTAATGTGTGGGGATAGATTACTACTTGTGAGTGGAAAAAATTGGTTCTGTAATATTGAAAATGGTGACTAGTTAATGTGGGGCCCCCAATCTGGTTACAGTGGGCCCTGGTTTAGTTATAATAATCCCCAAAAACTAGTTAAATTGGCTCCTGATTTAGCTAAATGGGTCCCATAGGAACTAAAACTAAAACAAATATAATCTAAAAATAACCTAGCCTAACCTTAACTAAAATAACCTAACCTAACCTTAACTAAAATAACCTAACCTAACCTTAACTAAAATAACCTAACCAAAGCTAATCTAACCTAACCTGAAATATCCTATCCTAACTTAACTTAACTTAACTTAACTTTTGGGCGAGTGTCACTTATAGGAAATACGTGTAACAATACCAGAAAATACGTGTCAGTTGGTAAGTACGTGTCACAATAAGATAAAATACGTGTCCAAGGTTGTTTTCGTATTACCATAAAAAATAAGCCTCACTGTCATATAAAATACGTAGAAACTCTGATTAGATGTATTATTATGTATGGTGAATATTATCACTGAGAAATACATACGAGTATATTAAAAAAAATGCACATGTATGAAATTATCAGATTGACATATTGAAAAAAGGTAAATAATATAACAGGTATAATGAAGTAAGAGTATTCTAGTGTCGAATAAGACTCTTGGTGTATGAGTATTAAGCATGATATATTGTCACGTGAGTATTTAAATATTATATGTATAAATTAACAGGTATTATTAAACCTGTTTATATAGATATACTTATACGTGTATTGTACTAGTGATGGTTCAGTCGTGTAGTTGACCCCAGACTGAAAATTGAAGCCAAATATTATACTATCATGTAAAAAAAAAAAATGGTTTAATTAGCGATAATTGATGTTTACTTTGTCGTTATTTATTTCGCCTCGTCATATCGTGCCTATTGCGTTGAATTTTGGAAATGCTAGTGATGTAAATAGTGTGAGTGTGTGTGTGTGTGTGTGTGTGTGTGTGTGTGTGTGTGTGTGTGTGTGATTTATCTCTCAGCAGTCTTTTCCGCTTAAAATAGGATACCGGAAATGAAAGCACACACACACACACACACACACACACACACACACACACACACACACATTTCCCCATAATTCGTTGTTGCTGATTCATATTCACAGCACTAACCTAACCTAACCTAACCTAACCCACATCTTTCACTTCCTGTTATCTCATGTTATCTCTACTTCCTAAACAAACTCTAATCCACTTACATAATACTTCTATCATTTATTCATCTTATTTTCTGTAATTTTTGGGGGGTAATCTTTTTTCTTTTATTATTTTTGTTGTTTTTAATTTTAATTTTTTTTATCTTGATTTTATTCTATGTATTTATATATTTTAGTTGGGTTGAATATTTTAGTGACCGGTTATGCCTTTGTGTACTTTGATTGACTTCTCTCTTTTTTTGTCTGTCTGTGTCTGTCTGTTTGTCTGTCTCCCTCTTTTTGCCAGTCTGTCTCTCTGTCTGTGTGTGTTTGTGTCTGTCCCTCTCTTCCTGTCTCTCTGTCTGTCTCCCTCTTGATCTGTCTCTCTGTCTGTGTGTGTTTTTGTGTCTGTCCTTCTCTTCCTATCTCTCTGTGTCTCCTCCTTTTGCCAGTCTGTCTCTCTTTCTGTCTGTGTGTGTTTGTGTCTGTCCCTCTCTTCCTGTCTCTGTCTGTCTCCCTCTTTTTGCCAGTCTGTCTCTCTGTCTGTGTGTGTCTGTGTCTGTCCCTCTCTTCCTGTCTCTCTGTCTGTCTCCCTCTTTTTGCCAGTCTGTCTCTCTGTCTGTGTGTGTCTGCGTCTGTCCCTCTCTTCCTGTCTGTCTGTCTGTCTATTTAATTCCTCTTCCCTGTTCCGTGTAGATCAATTCATCAGTTACCACATCCCAGGTCTTTGAAACAGTGCATTATTTTTCTTTATTCTAACCTCCACTCAAGGTCACAAATATTTGTATGTCGCCCTACCTCCCTCCTCTGTCTTAAGTTAACCTGAGGAAACTGCCCTAACTACCAACACATTTCATTCTGACGGCAATAAACGTTGATATCTATCCCACCCCACCCCACCCTAACCGCACCTCACCCCATCCTAACCCCGCCCCACCCCACCTAACTTGCCACACACCCACCCCTACCCCTACCCCTACCCCACCCCCTAACCCCCACCCCACCCCACCCTAACCCACCCACCACACCCCACCCCACCCCACCCATTCTGAACCTTCCCCTCTCATTCTGAACCTTCCTTCTCGCTTTGAACCTTTCCCTCTCACTTTGAACTTTTCCCTCTCTAAACCTTCCCTCTCTGAACCTTTCCCTCTCCTTTGAACCTTTCCCTCTTACTGAACCTTCCCTCCCCCTCTGAACCTTTCTCAATCTGGGCCTTTCTCTCTCCTCTGAACCTTTCCCTCTCCTCTGAAGACCTTTCCCTCTCACTTTGAACCTTTCCTCTCCCTCGCCTTCCCTCTCTATATCTTTTTCCTCTCACTGAATCTTCCCTCCTCTGACCTTTCCCTCCCACTGAACCTTGCCACCCACTCTGAACCTTCCTCCACTCCTAAGCCTTCCCTCTCATCCTGATCCTTCCTCTCCTCTGGAACCTTTCCATCTCCACACAGACCTTCCCCTCCCTCTGAACCTTCCCCTCTCATTCTCAACTTTCTCTCTCCCACTAAACCTTCCCCTCTCACTCTGAACCTTTCCATCTCACTGAACCTTCCCTCTCTCTCTGAACCTTCCCCTCTCACTCTGAACCCCCCTCTGTCATCCTGAACCTTCCCCTCTCACTCTGAACCTTTCCCTCCCACCCTGAACCTTCCCTTCCCATTCTGCCCTCTCACTCTGAACCTTCCTCTGTCACTCTAAACATTCCCCTCTCACTTTGAACCTTCCCCTCTCTCTCTGAACCTTACCCTCTCACTATGAACCTTCCCCTCTCATTCTGAACATTCCCCTATTACTCTGAACCTCCCTTTGTTACTCTGAACCTTCCCCTCTCATTTTGAACCTTCCCTCACTCAACCTGAACCTCCCTCTCTAACTCTAACCCTTCCCCCACTCACTCCGAACTTTCCCCACTCACTCTGAACCTTTCCCCACTCAACCTGAACCTTCACTATACCTCTCATATGTTCTAAATAATAGACAGACCCTCCCCTGTGTCGCCTCTAATATATTCTCTCCATTCAACTTCACTTTTATAATTCATTCTTCTGTCTGCCTACACGTACAGTCCACTTCATTTGTGCGTTTACAGGGGCTCGTCATATAAAAATTCCCAAATTATTATCTTTGAGATATTTTTGTTTTAATATTGTTTTAATTTAATTCTATAATATGTTTACTATTGTGAGTTTCCTCCTGTCGAATGTAAACAAACACAACGCTGCCACACTGTACTAAACCTGACGAGCCCCTGTAAACGCACTAGTGAAGGGGACTGTACAGTAGTCTATCAAGTCTTTATAATATCCATTAGTCCCACTTGTATACATAGTTATGTGTTAATGCATTGTTTTGTTATTCTAAAACCAAACGCAATGGGCACACTATGACGAGTTGAAATAGTGAGAAAATAAGTGGTAATTATAGCTGATTAAGTATTGTATTTATATTTTAGGGGATATTTCTAAAATTTGGATTCATTATTTTAAGTGTCATGTAGGATTACTGTGTCAAGAGCGGGAGTGTGGGAGGCGGTGGCGGCGTCAGTTACCAATAGGGAGGACTGTGAGGGGGAGGTAACGGGGGAGGTAGCTTGGCACTTGTTTATAAAGGACAGGGGAGGATAGTTGGGAGGATGTTGGGTATGTTGAGTAAGGAAGGAAGGTTTGGGAAGGTTAATTTAGCTGCCTATATAGAACATGGTATGGTAATTTAACATGGTATATAGGGTAGGGTAGGGGAGGGTAGGGAAGGGTAGGATTGGAGAAGGTAGGGTAGGGTAGGATAGGGTAGGGCAGGGTAGGGAAGAGTAGGGTTGGGTAGGGTAGGGTAAAGTTGGATAAGGTAGGGTAGGGTATGGTGGGGTAGGGTAGAGATGGGTAGGGTTGGGCTGGGTAGGGTAGAGTGGAGTAGGGTAGGGTAGGGTAGGGTAGGGTAGTTTAGGGTAAGGTAGGGTAGGGTAGTTTAGGGTAAGGTAGGGTAGGGTAATTTTACATGTTATAAGGAGCAGGGGAGGGTGATTTGTCATGTTATATAATTATAAGGTAGGAGGGATAATGTGGACTGTCGCGTAAAGACGAAGACTTAAAACTGGTCAACATAAGTGATTTAGCCTTGTAAGGAGGCAATGGAGGGATGGAGGTCAAGTTAGATGGAGTGGCTACACCGTGTTGTCATTCTCTGTTTACAATTTACATTCGGTAGGCAGAGGTGTTCTCGTAAACAAAGACGTAATGTTGTGTAAGTACCACGACTGGGATAGCTACACCATTGAGTTTTAGATGACATGAATTAACCAAACCTAACTTAACCAAATGATCCTAGGACTGGTATTGGAGGTTGATTTAAGGTTATCCCAATTAAATGCATCAATAAGGATTATCATAAATATTGGGTTCATGGTAAAGGAGGAAGATGGAAGTCTGTGGGATAAAGTCTGGCATTTTTTTTGTCGTCTCAGAGATAAAATCATATTAATTAGACCTAAATTTGACTTGGTTTGTCATTGCTACTTTGTAAAACCCGAGAAACGTCACATCTAGAAAAGAAAGAACATATTACGCTTGTTTCCTAGAGGTTAGGTTTGGTTTGGTTTGGTTAGGTTAGGTTTGTTAAGTTAGGTTAAAATAAGTGGTTAGGTTTAGGTTAAGTTATGCCAAGTTAAGTGGTTAGGTTAGATTAAGTTTGGTTAAGTTAGGTAACGTTAAGTGGTTAAGTTAGGTTAAGTGGTTAGGTTAGGTTAAGTTATGCCAAGTTAAGTGGTTAGGTTAGATTAAGTTTGGTTAAGTTAGGTAACGTTAAGTGGTTAAGTTAGGTTAAGTGGTTAGGTTAGGTTAAGTTAAGTGGTTAGGTTAGATTAGGTTAGGTTAGGTATCATGCCCACACTTCATGAAAGAAAGGAACATCAGGGGTAAATTATGAGCAAGAGAAGGACATGAGGCATAAACTGTTGATGGGACCAGAGTAACACGCCCAAACAACAGGCAGAAGAAGGATATCAAACCCGGGCTACACGCAGGATGGGGTCATTCAGGGGTCCTACGGCTCCTCCTGTACGCCGAGGTTAGGTTAGGTTGTTGAGATAGTTGGTATAGGGAAGACTGAGGGTGTTGCCCTGGGTCAGTTTACACAGTGGGGGTGTACTTGAGGGTGTTGGCCGACTTACACAGACGAAGGTGCCGGGTGTTGGGTAGCCAATATAAAACGTCGATTTACACCATAGACATTTTTTGGGTATTTACGTTCGATTTACAGAGGAAGACCTGTTGGGTATTTTTGAATGATTTACACAGACTTAGGAAGCATAAGGTTATATAAGTATAGTTTACATGTGGATTGTCAGGGGTGAGGGACTGACTTACATTGCACAGGCGGGGTGTTGAGGCTCTGAGGCCGATGTACCCCGGGTTCTGGTGTCTCTTGTCCCGTTGTTAAGAGAGAAGGAAGAGCTTAAGACCCACCGCTACCCGTGAACTAACACTATTTTACAAGAAGCATATGTCATTTATTCACAGAATATAAGCAAAATCTTTGTGGCTACAGCCTTCCAATCAAAGGCTCTCAGGACCCTTATCGCTGTACAGGAGCTGTTGGAGTGTTCCTCAAGACCCCAGCGTCTCCTCCTGGGTGACGATAAGGGCACCGCCCACACGGTAACAGTTATGTATACACGCACGACAAGCATGGAATACAGCTCGAAAACTATGATTGAAAAAACGGTGTTTAGGTCACAATGTGTCATTCACACCACGACTCCTGTCAGCCGTGGTGAACATCGTCTGCAACACCGCTGTTCTGCTATAACACAGGACTGGTATATATTTCTATCTCACTAACCAGTACATCTTTTTAAAAGTTAAAATCAGGTTAAACTTTTCTGGTAAACTAACTTTTTACAATAGACTCTGTAGCGTAAGCATATACTTCTTCGTCAGGAATTAATTGACTTAAAGATTACGAATATCAACACAAGCACTGTTCTTGACGACACATGTTCTGTAAGACGGGAGAGGGAGTGCTGCCTCTCTCACTCACTCTATGAGGGATTGCTGCGTCGTCCTGCTCGTCTCAACATCCCCGTCAGCACCTGTGTCTTGTACCAGTCCTCTAGTGGGTGTAAAAAGAAGCACACGATGGATGTTATTATTGTGTCATATAAACAGGTCCAGGAGGAGGGTGGAAAGCAGTGATTGTGACGACCCATTAGGAGTAGGACTGTGTTGGCTGTCAGGTGTGGGTCTGGGCATGGGTGAGGGCCGACCCTACAGTACCAAGCCGAGAAAATATAAACACGTGGGTTGCAGTCTCATGCAGCAGAAACAACAGCAGGAGACCCACGCTTGCCCACAGTCGAGCAGAACCCATTGTTGATACCCCAAGCCGGAGTGTGGCGAAGCAGCAACTACACCACACGCCGGCCCATACCCCGCCAATGGTGTGGCGAGGAAGGGCGGGGCTGCTGGAGGTGGTGGCGCCCATGCTGGTCCTCCCACTGGTACCACTGCCCAATCCGTCCAGGGGCCCCGTGCCGCCCAGGGAGCTTCCGTGAACGCCGCCCCGCATGAAGGCATTCTCCTCCAAGGTGTAGCCGGGCGAGTCTGAGTCCAACTCTGGCGGGATACAACATGTTAGTAGTGGCCTGATCTACACAACTGTGCCGCGATTAGTGATTGGAAATACAACTTGATGGATGATTGGAAATACTACATGATGGATGATTGGAAATACAACTTGATGTATGATTGGAAATACAACATGATGTATGACTGGAAATACAACATGATGTATGACTGGAAATACAACATGATGGATGATTGGAAATACAACATGATGGATGATTGGAAATACAACATGATGGATGATTGGAAATACAACATGACGTATGATTGCAAATACAAGGTGTAGGACAGGTACAGTGCAGGTAACATCTGGTACACGTAACGATAAAATAATTCCGAATAATTGGATGCTAGTTAGTAATTGTTGCCGACCAATAAATGAACGCGATTACTGTGTTGGGGGGAGGTGAGGGAAGGAGGGGGGGAAGACGAATATTAATGAATCGTAAATAAATGGTCATATGTTAATATAATCGACGAATGAATGTGGATAAAGGTGTAATGAAAGTGGATAAGACTTATTATTGATGAAGCAATGATGATGATGATGATAGTGATGATGATGATGATGATAGTGATGATAATGGTGATGATGGAAAATACACAGCCATAGGTAAATGATAATTTTTATATTACATAATACATTTACCGTAAATAAATAAAATAAATGAATAATGATGAAAAATAAAGTAATGACCTCAATATTTACCTGATTAATAAAGGAATGTGTTTACAAAAAAATTAAAAAAAATGAATAAGCAAAATGATAATTACAATGAAAATATTTATATAATGATTTTTTTGTACCTCTTTTGGATTCCCTGTAATTAACTGATTTGTTTTTACCTTTTCTCACCTGTCTTAATTAACTAGCCCCACTCAATTTACTTAACTAGCCCCCACTTACTGTCCTGGCCTATACACACTTGTTCTGTACTCATTTGGCCTATATCTTACCTGTGCTGTAGGCCTCTCTCTCTCTCTCTCTTGTTCAACAGGTCACAGTACACACACACACACACACACACACACTCACCTTGCCTGTGCCATGAGTCGATGATGTGGTCTTCATTATGCTGCTCTGGCCTCAGTACTGTAAGAAGTACAGGAAGGACATGTTGTAAAATAGGTGTTGGTGGAGGCTGTGCCGATACCCACCTAACCAAACCTAACCTAAGAAAAAATAACTTACGAATAATCTAACCTACCTTAACCTCAACTAAGGTAAATATAATTAACATATTAACATAATCTAACAAACTAAACATAACCTAACCTCATCAAAATAAATTTATACCTAAACTAACCCGAATTAACATCTTAAAAGAATGTTAAATCATCAGCACAAATAGTCCATCCTAAACACTATAATATTTTTATCTGAGTCTACCATTAACTGGGTCCGTTTTCTTTGCGTGTACAGTATATAAACAGGAGTGAAGGAAGGGGTAGGGAGAGAGAGAGAGGGGGTTAAGGAACGGGGAGAGAGGGGGGGGAGGGATAAGAAGGAAGGAAGGAAGGAGGGAGGAAATAAGTAAATCTGGTAATATTAATGATTGATAAATTTTTCTGTTCCACTCATCACTATTTTCTCCATTCATCCTACGACCTCTCGTCCCATCTCCAACACTACCATTACTATCACCACCATCATCACCATCACCATATCATCACCATCATCACCACCACCATTATCAACACCATCACCACCACTTTCATCAACCCCAACACAACTTTTTATCACCAATTAATTACCACCACCACCACCACCACCACCACCCTACACCACCAATTACCACCACCACCTTACACCACCACCACCAGCAGCTACACAACTACCACCAGCCACACCACCCACCACCACCACCAATTTTTACATAACCACTACCACCACCTCCTACACCAATTAATCACCACCTCCTATACCACCACCACCACCACCACCTCCTCACAGCACCACCACCACCACCTCCTACACCACCACCACCACTCCACCAGCAGCAGCACTTTCACCACCAGCCACACAACTACCACTACCACCACACCAACACCACCTCACCACCTCCCACACCACCACCACCACCACCACCAGCTACACAACTGCCACCGCCACCACCACCACCACCGCTACCAACACCACGACCACTACCACCACCACCACCACCACCACCACCTCCTATACCACCACCACCACCACCATAACATGCGTTAGGATTAGCCCAACAATTAACTGTGGCAGGCCTTTATAGAGCATATCAAAACACAAAACAAATTCATTTTAATTGAATCGTCAACTTGCGGACCTAATGGGAAGTTGTGGATCAGAGCTGTTTTCATCATTATTGATATTTTTATTTTTTTTATTATATCTTTTTTTATTGCGGATAGAGGTTCAGGATAGCTGTTAAAGGGTTCTGACTGGTGGTGGTGGTGGAGGTTCTGAGAAATGGTGGTGGTTGTGGTGGTAGTGGTGGTGTAGGTGGTGACTGATGAGTGTTCTGAGAATTGGTGGTGGAGAACTAACAGTTGGTGGTGGAGGTAGATAATTGGTGGTGCTGACAATTGGTGGTGGTGGTGCTGACAATTGGTGGTAGTGCTGACAATTGGTGGTGGTGGTGCTGACAATTGGTGGTGGAGGTTCTGAGAATGGTGGTGGTTGTGGTGGTGTAGGTGGTGACTGATGAGTGTTCTGAGAATTGGTGGTGGAGATACTAACAGTTGGTGGTGAGGTGGTGATAATTGGTGGTGCTGACATTGGTGGTGGTGGTGCTGACAATTGTGGTGGTAGTGCTGACAATTGGTGGTGGTGGTGCTGACAATTGGTGGTGGTGGAGGTTCTGAGAAATGGTGGTGGTTGTGGTGGTAGTGGTGGTGTAGGTGGTGACTGATGAGTGTTCTGAGAATTGGTGGTGGAGATACTAACAGTTGGTGGTGGAGGTGGTGATAATTGGTGGTGCTGACAATTGGTGGTGGTGGTGCTGACAATTGGTGGTGGTAGTGCTGACAATTGGTGGTGGTGGTGCTGACAATTGGTGGTGGTAGTGCTGACAATTGGTGGTGGTGGTGCTGACAATTGGTGGTGGTGGAGGTTCTGAGAAATGGTGGTGGTTGTGGTGGTGTAGGTGGTGACTGATGAGTGTTCTGAGAATTGGTGGTGGAGATACTAACAGTTGGTGGTGGAGGTGGTGATAATTGGTGGTGCTGACAATTGGTGGTGGTAGTGCTGACAATTGGTGGTGGTGGTGGTGGTGGTGGTGCTGACAATTGATTTCGATCTTATTATTGGTGAAAGTTTTGACCAATTTTTCCCCAAAATAACCAAGAGGCCTTACTTAAGCTCCACGACAGTTAACAACACGACAGTACCAGACAGGCACAACACGACAGTACCAGACAGCGACACTCACCTGAATTACTTTGGCTTGAGTGTTCCTGTTTCTCATCTGAGCCTCTGGTCACCACGATCTCTGAAGACGATAGGAAAAGAGATAAAAACATGTGGATGATGATGATGATGATGATGATGATGATGATGATGATGATGATGATAATGATGATGATAATGAGTACATATGTATTTTATGTCTGTGTTTGTGTATAATATGTATGATGAATTAAAACAAAATGTGGATGTGTGTGTTCACTTTCTTTCTGTCTGACTCACACACACACACACACACACACACACACACACATCAATGCTATGAATTTGCCGAGACAGCAGTTCCCGCCACCAAACTAATATTTGTCACAAACCAATAGGATATTTTTTTTCGCCTGTTTTTTTTCATTGACAAAACTGACCATGGCAAATGCACCTGTCATGACCCATACCTGTGTTTGTTGAGAGAGAGAGAGAGAGAGAGAGAGAGAGAGAGAACAAACTTTAAACTACAGCTCGACAAATGTATTATTCACATAAACAACAACAACCACAACAACAACAACATACCGTAGAGCCTGACGTTGCTGTCTGTCTCACCGAGGGAGTTCTTGGCGCCGCAGACGTAGGAACCGAAGTCTTTGTGACGGAGGCTCCTGAGGGAGAGCTTCATGGTGGTGGTGTAGTCTTGCCGAATCTCGTGGGTCTCCTGGCGGGTTGAGTTGATGAGAAGCTGGTTGTTGAAGCGCCAGAAATGAACGGCGTTGGGGAAGGCATCTACCTGACACTCCAAGGTCACGGAAGTACCCACCGGTGCCCCTACCAGCTGATTGGGCACCGTGATAAGCGGCTGGACTGTTAACAAACATACACACGGAGATAAGAATGATACACCTCTACACAAATTCTAATCATGCATAGTAATTATCCATGTTATGTAGTGGTAACCTAACTAAAAGAAGTTAGGTTAGGTTACCTGACCCAACAGGCCACGTCCTAACCTTCTAACTTAACCTAACTAAATAAAGTGTTTTGCCTTAAGACAAATGTCAGAATCATCTAAAACAGCAAGAAAACTAGCGAAAAATATATTTTGCATTTGAAACAAGGTGATGGGTGGTTAACACAAATAACCAAAGAGGTCATGGCTGGAAATCACCATGAGAGTCCATGCTGCGTTCCTGGTGTGGTGAGGTCAGTGGCAGAGTGTGAGACACGCTGATACTCAGTATTGTCCAAGTCAAGATAGCAGATCTCTGCTATAAAGAGGAAATACACACAATATATTCACACTACAGTATATTTAAAATATACACACTATATTCATTGAATATATCTCTCCTTTCCCGATAAATGCATTACCGCCGCTGTTGTTGTGGGTCGCCAGGGTATCAACTAACAGACGACTATTACGGGACTTAAAAGTGCCCCCGAGGCCTTTTAATTTAACAGAACTATTAAGGCCCTTAAAAGTTGTGTGTATGTACTATTAGTGCTTAACAGGAAAATGTCAGCCTTAACAACTGTATGCTAGCACTTAAAAGTTTTGTGAACACCGACCCTGGAGCTGTTATGTGCTGGTTTTATATAACACGTGACGTTATTGGTAATTATGGTGGTTGAGGAGGGTCATTTAGCCCCCTCCTCACACCCTCGCCCCCTCACTTTCGTTTCTTATCTCTTCTAAGATGATATATAATGAAATAGACAAGAGGTGTATTGAAAGGAACACTGATGTCCTCATAGCTACACTGTGTTGATGCCTCGCTCCACAATGGTCAAAAAGTATAGGTACGGCAACCTAACCTAACCTAACCTAATTTAACCTAACCTAACCTATTCTTGCCTTTTATAGGTATAAGGACCTGTAATGTGTTCAGAAAGACAAACTTGGAGGGGTTACCATTATTCTTGTGACCATCTGTAAAGAACACCTCTCCACTGTGTACATAATATTTAGTGTGTATGTGTGTGTTGGTAGTTAGTAGGCAGTTTCCACTTATTGATGGGTAACCCGGAAATATGATTATTATCCAGAGATTCTATTCCTGGTCATAAAAGTATTATTCTTAAATCTTGAGGTATAGGTTAGGTTAGGTTAGGTTAGGTTAGGTAAGGTTCATGTTAACAAACACGAGCAAAGGTAAATTGTATCCTTATGACTGACGATACAAATTATGAATCTTCGTGAAATGTTAATCTATTATTTGGATTCAATTATATGTGGAAGTTAGACACCGTTAGTGGGGGATAATTAGGGTTTATCAATAGTGATCCTGGTAATGCTTATTGATTGATTAATTAATTTGTTTATATATCTCTTTGTTGTTATGTATGTGTGTGTGTGTGTCACCATCATATATTACCTGGACAATATAGCTGTTAGGATCAGTGATGCGTCATTAATAGTATTTAATTTAGTTGTTTTGAAATACGATTTGTTGGTAATGATATAGATTACATATTAGTTTTGTGGAGGATAGTAATGGTGATACAATTGTTACGATATAATGTCATAACACTGAGAGGAGTAGTTTACAAGTAATATGCAAATTTACTCAAGAACTAAACTAAGTAATGGTATGATCATCGTTTCGGTCATCCAGTGAATTTAGGAGGTTAGGTTAGGTTAGGTTAGGTTAGGTTAGGTTAGGTTAGGTAGGTTAGGTTAGGTTAGATATAGTTCCTGGGTTCTGTGGTTAGATTAAGTTAGGTTAGGTTAGGTAAGATCAAAATCATTCAAAACACGTCAAAAACCGTCGGAAAAACATAGGAATGACCGACACGATAATTCTACCCTAAATACTAAAGGTTCAGACTCCATAAAACACATCATATCTTTATATTTAACTCTGGGTGAGATAAACCGCCTAAATTATATACAATCACTCCAAAAAACTATCTGTACTTGGAGTGATCGATGAATTTCAGACTGAACACTGCGACTCCTGTTGTCTCTTTATGGTTGTCAAAATCCTCCGTCAGTTGTCTCATATTTTCTCAAAGCATTTTTGTATAGATACTTTTTTGAGTGACTGTACGTGGAAATATTTAATTTAACGTTAATATTTACCTTAGACATTATATCCTCCCCCCCATCTTCACTACGTGTTTTCAAATCCACTAATCATACTTATACATAAATACTCAGTTATGGAAGACTAATTCTTACATAAATAGAACAGTATCGACGGCATCCCTATAGTAGCTATCGTCTCGAAGGGTCAGGCAAGGTCACTTTTGTACGTCAATTACCTTTATATTCAAACCTGACCAGAATACTACTAAAGGGTTAGGTTAAGTTGGGTTAGATTATAGTGTTGTAGTGATGGTGGTTATAGTACTGTAGTGATGATGATTATAGTGTTGTAGTGATACTGGTAATAGTGATGTAGTTATAGTGTTGTAGTAATGATGATGGTTATACTGCTGTAGTGTTGTAGTAATGATAATAGTATAGTGTTGTAGTAATGATGATGGTGTTTATAGTGTTGTAAAAATAATGATGGCCATAGTGTTGCGGTGATTGATTATGGTTATAGTGTTGCAAAGGTGATGATGATGATGATAATGGTTATAGTGTTGCAATGCTGATGATAGTGATAATGATGGTTATACTGTTGCAATGATGATGGTTTTGATGATGATGGTTATAGTGTTGCAATGATGATGGTGATGATTATGATGGTTATAGAGTTGCAATGCTGATGATGGTTACAGTGTTGCAATGATGATGATGATGATTGTTATCGTGTTGCAATGATGATAGTTATAGTGTTGCAATGATGATGATGATGATGGTGGTGGTTATAGTGTTGCAATGATAATGATGATGGTTATAGTGTTGCAATGATGATTAGTGTTGTAGTTTTAGCGTTGTAGTGATGATGATGGTTATAGTGTGGCAGTGATGATGGTGGTGATAATGATGGTTATACTGTTACAATGATGATGATTTTGATGATGATGGTTATAGTGTTGCAATGATGATGGCGATGATTATGATGGTTATAGAGTTGCAATGATGATGATGGTTACAGTGTGGCAATGATGATGATGATGATTGTTATCGTGTTGCAATGATGATAGTTATAGTGTTGCAATGTTGATGATGATGGTGGTTATAGTGTTGTAATGATAATGATGATAGTTATAGTGTTGCAATGATGATGATTAGGGCTGTAGTTTTAGCGTTGTGGTGATGATGGTTATAGTGTTGTAATGAGGATGCTCTAGTTATAGTGTTGTAGTTATGATGACGGTTATAGTGTTGTGGTGATGATGCTGTAGTTAAAGTGTTGTAGTGATGATGATAGCTATAGTGTTGTAGTGTTAATGATGGTTATAGTGTTGCAATGATGATGAAAATGATGGTTATAGTGTTGTAGTGATAATGAAGATTATAGTGTTGCAGTGATGATGATGATGATGCTGATGATGGTTATAGTGTTGCAATGATGATGATAATGATGGTTATAGTGTTGTAGTGAAAATGATGATTATAGTGTTGCAGTGATGATGATGATGATGAAGCTGATGATGGTTATAGTGTTGCAATGATGATGATAATGATAATGATGGTTATAGTGTTCTAGTGATGATGAGACGATGATAATGATGGTTATAGTGTTGTAGTTATAGTGTTATAGTGATGATGATGGTGATGGTTATAGTGTTGCAATGATGATGGTGATGATGATGGTTATAGTGTTGCAGTTATGATGATGATGGTTATAGTGTTGTAGTGATGATGATGGTTATAGTGTTGTAGTGATGATGCTTATAGTTTTGTTGTGATTATCATGATGGTGGTTATAGTGTTGTAGTGATGATGAATAGAGTGTTGAAGTGATGATGATGATGATGATAGTTATAGTGTTCTAGTGATTATGATGGTTATAGTGTTGTGTTGATGATGTGATAGTTATAATGTTGTAGTTATAGTGTTGTAGTGATGATGTTGGTTATAGTGTTGTAGTGACAGTGATGGTTATAGTGTTGTAGTGATGATGATTATAGTGTTGTAGTGATGATGGTGGTTATAGTATTATAGTAATGGTGATGATAGTTATAGTGTTGTAGTGATGATGGTGGTTATAGTGCTGTAGTGATGATGGTGGTTATAGTGATGTAGTGATTATGATTATAGTGTTGTAGTGAGGTTGGTTATATTATTGTAGTGATGATGATGGTTATAGTGTTGTAGTGATGATGATGGTTATATTGTTGTAGTGATGATGGTGGTTATAATGTTGTAGTGATGGTGATGATGATGATGGTTATAGTGTTGTAGTAATGGTGATGATGATGGTTATAGTGTTGTAGTAATGGTGTTGATGATGATAATGGTTATAGTGTTGTAGTTATGATCTTATAGTGGTTTACTTATGTTACTGTTGTAGTCACAGAATGTACTTACCATTAACAGGTGTTGTTGGGTTGGGTTTGTGCCAGTGTTGTAGTTTTGTTGTTATGCCTTATTTATATTCTTGTAGAGCTGTTTGTGGTTGTAGTGTTGTTGTCTGTAGTTGTAGTGTTGTTGTTTGTAGTTATGGTGTTGATGTTTGTTGTAGTGTTGTAGTTTGTAGTTGTAATGTTGTTTGTATTTGTAATGTTGTTTGTTGTTGTTTGTAGTTGTAATGTTGTTTGTTTTTGTAGTGTTGTTTGTAGTTTTAGTGTTGTTGTTTGTAGATGTAATGTTGTTGTTTGTAGTTGTAATGTTGTTGTTTGTAATTGGAGTGTTTATGTTAGTAGTTGTAGTGTTGCTTGTTTTTGTAGTATTGTTGTCTGTAGTTGTAGTGTTGTTTTTTGTTGTTGTGTTGCTCTTTGTAAATGTAGTGTTACTTGTAGTTGTA